AATAATTGAACCACATATTCTTCAAGACTAGAATAAACTTAAAGGCTACTTCTTATTGACACATTGACAATGCATTAGGCACTGTTCTAACTCATTTTTATTAATTTATTGTTACCAGTTCATAACATTGTGAAGTAAATATTATTACCCCCATTTTACAGATGATGAAACTGAGGCAAAGCAAGTCTTTATGATTCCCTAAGGTCACATAGCTAGAGGATACAGAGCTGAGAGTCAGCCCAGGCAATGTGGTTCTGGAGTCCTTTCTCTTTATCTCCACATTATCTGCTCCTTTATGATGTCTTTATAGTCTTTTTCTATGATAACCACTTTTACTCATGGGGATCCTTAACTGTAAATTACAGAAAACTCATTTCAAATCACTTAAACTGTGTAGAGGATTTATAGGCTCATGTAAACAAAATGTGCTGAGATAAGTCAGACTCTAGAATAGCCTATCTTAGCTCTAGTTTGGTTCCCTATGGTTCTCACAGTTCTTTATTTCTCAAGATGTCAGCCTTATCCTCAGCTAGAGGGAGGAACTGGTAGGGAGCTGACTATAGTTGTTCTAGGTGCCATCATCCAGAGGAAGCAATATTATCTTCAGTTGTTTCCCAGAAGAGAAAGTTTCTATTATAGAAGCCCCTGCAAATACTTTTCTAGCCTCACAGACAGAAATTAGGTCATATACTCTCCAGTACCAATGACCAGTGGATGGGCTTGTGCAGGTTGGTGAATGCCGGAGCTGCCTGACTCACCTCTTGATCCAGTGATAGAGTGGGCTTTCCCTGAAGCACACAGTTCCTCATGGGACATGTGAAAAGCAAACTGAGGGAGGTTGTTACCAACAGATGGAGAAGTGGATAGTAGGCAGGGAACCTCAATGCTAACTATATCCCTTATTTTGAGGATATAGACCCTCAGAGATATTGTGACTTATCACAAAGTTGATTAGAGATCTATCTGTCTTTCAGCTATAAACCTTTAAATTCCAACAACCTCTTCAAGGAATCTTTAAAAATCATGTCTTATTGGAATTCTTCTGGGGAAATAGCATTTATCACAAAATAATTTTTTACAAAATATGAAAATATCAAGACTTCTAAGAAATTGGAATTTTAGTTAATTATAAAAGAGAAAACAGTTTGAAAATAAAACTGATAATTATCTAATTCTCATTGTATATTTAGAGATTGTATACATTGTATATATAATGTATTATATATTATATAATACCTTGTAATTATAAAAACAGTATAATATTCTACTATGTAGTACAAACTGCACCATAGCTTACTACTTTTATTTGATTTTAATTTTGTTGGGAGCCCATATACAACTACAAGTTATTAAAAAAAACCTCTCTGAAAAGTAAGTGGTTGGGATATATTGCAGAATATCTGCTAATCAGTCCATTCCAATCTCAGTTCTTCTCTGTTTCATTAAAATTGTATTTGCCATGTTTAAAGCTGATCTCAAATCTAACTCCAATAGACATGCATTCATCTGTTCCTTCATTTAGTGAATTTTATATTTATTGAGGACCACACACTTGAGGAGAGTGTTAAGTACTTGTCAGTTGTATTTGAATTCTCTGCAGATTCTCAGGCTTTCTTTCCTGAGATGTTTTCTCCTAATTTGCTCGTCCTTCTCTGACTGAGCCTTCTTACATCCTACTAGCAGAACAAATTTTATAAAATTCAAATTCAGTAATACCTTATTTCTGCTTAAATACCTTCAATGTCTTCCTGAGAACTATAGGGAAATGTTCAAAATCCTTAGACTGTCTTAAAAATGTTTTCATGAGATAGCCTGGACCTGACTTCTCAGTCACATCTTGTGCCACTTTCTCACACATACAGCCCTAAACCCTCCCTACTAAACCCTCACTGTGCTTTAAACAGATTTTTTTTTTTAATACCAAGCCTTTGTACATGCTGACTCTTCTTTCTGGGAGATCCTTTCTGCTCTTCTCCATCTATCTACATCTTACTCATGCTTCAAAAACCAGCTCAAATATTACTCATTCTGTGGCTACTCCTGCAAACTCTTTAGGCAGAGTTACTTATTCTTTACCATATTTCCACGAAATTTGATGCGATGATATTGTTCTATTCAATGCATCATATTATAATCTTTTGCATGTCTTTCTTATGAAATGAAATAGTGTTGATCTTTGTAACCCAGAGTTATCATTTATCAATGCACCAATCTGATCAATACATTGACCAATGAGCATTTTCTTTCACTGTTTCTAAAAAAAAATATTTATTGAGTAGTTTTCCTGGGCCAGGCACTGAATTGGTATTGAGCTTCAAAATATGGCACTGGACTTCATTTTATTTTTAGTAATCCAAGTGCTTTTTGGACAGTTTGATGTTTATTTTGGCTTTGGTCGTCTTCCAAGGTGTATCTTGCAAAGTGAGAATCACCATTGCCAGAAGTTGATTGTGTACTAGTTTTTCTCCCCCTGTATTTAGAAATGTACTAACAGGGCAAGTGTGATTTGATATCCTTCCAACATACTATTTATGATGGTGGCAATTCAATACTAAAATAGTTGGCATTTCTCTCTTTTTCTCCCAGATAATTCTTATGCTTCATATAGTTGAATGTAACAAACTTTTAATTTTTCACATTTCTATCTGCAGATTATTGACTGCAAAGTTTCAGGTAAAAAAATGAAAACATATTTATTTTGAATTAAGGCTCTTGGCCTTCAGATTATAAAATTTTATTAGAAGCTTTTTTGAATTACTCTAAAGATCTATGAATTTGAAAAATGTATTTTATGAAATAAAAATTGCAGTCCACTTGGTCTGTAACTCGGAGCCGTTGGGTCGGTTCCTGCTATCCCGCGCCTCCACTCCGTCCTCCGCGGGTCTCCTGTGTGCAATGGACGGCATCGTCCCAGATATAGCAGTTGGTACAAAGCGGGGATCTGACGAGCTCTTCTCTGCCTGCGTCGCTAATGGCACGTTTATAATGAGTAGCAACTCGGCCTCCACAGCAAATGGAAACGACAGCAAGAAGTTCAAGGGGGACAGCAGGAGTACGGGTGTGCCCTCCAGGATGATCCACATCCGCAAGCTCCCCAGCGACGTCACCGAGGGGGAAGTCATCTCCCTCGGGCTGCCTTTCGGGAAGGTTACCAACTTCCTGATGCTGAAAGGGAAAAACCAGGCCTTCATTGAGATGAACACCGAGGAGGCGGCCAACACCATGGTGAACTGCTACACGTCGGTGACGCCGGTGCTGCAGGGCCAGACCATCTACATCCAATTCTCCAACCACAAGGAGCTCAAGACCGACAGCTCCCCCAACCAGGCGCGGGCCCAGGCAGCCCTGCAGGCGGTGAACTCGGTCCAGTCGGGGAACCTGGCCTTGGCTGCCTCTGCTGCAGCGGTGGACGCTGGGATGGCGATGGTCGGACAGAACCCGGTGCTCAGGATCATCGTGGAGAACCTCTTCTACCCGGTGACCCTGGACGTGCTGCACCAGATCTTCTCCAAGCTCGGCACCTTCCTGAAGATGATCACCTCCACCAAGACCAACCAGTTCCAGGCACTGCTGCAGTACACCGACCCCGTGAGGAAGCAGCACACCAAGCTGTAGCTGGACGGGCGGAACATCTGTAACGCCTGCTGCACACTGAGCATCGACTCTCCAAACTCACCAGCCTGAACGTCAAGCACAACAACGAAGAGCCGCGACTACACACGCCCGGACCTGCCCTCCGGCGACAGCCTGCCGGCGCTGGACCAGACGGAGGCCACCGCCTTTGGTGCGCCAAGTATCACGTCCGTCCGCCTCTCCGTACGCAGGACTGGTTTCCCTCCAACCTTTGCCATCCCTCAGGCTGCAGGTCTCTCTGTTCTTAATGTGCATGGGGCCCTGGCGCCTCTGGCCATCCCGTCAGCTGTGGTGGCGGCGGCGGCGGCGGCAGCAGGCCAGATCGCCATCCCTGGCTTGGCGGGGGTAGGGAATTCTGTCCTGCTGGTCAGCAGCCTCAACCCCGAGAGAGTCACACCCCAAAGCCTCTTTATTCTTTTCGGCGTGTACGGTGACGTGCAGCGGGTGAAGATCTTGTTCAAGAAGGAGAACGCCCTGGTGCAGATGGCCGATGGCAGCCAGGCCCAGCTGGCCTTGAGCCACCTCAACGGGCACAAGCTGCACGGGAAGCCAGTGCGTATCACGCTCTCCAAACACCAGAATGTGCAGCTGCCCCGCGAGGGCCAGGAAGACCAGGGCCTCACCAAGGACTACGGCAACTCGCCCCTGCACGTCTTCAAGAAGCCCGGCTCCAAGAACTTAAAGAATATCTTCCCGCCCTCCGCCACCCTGCACCTCTCCAACATCCCGCCCTCTGTGTCTGAGGACGACCTTAAGATGCTCTTCTCTAGTAACGGCAGAGTTGCCAAGGGGTTCAAGTTCTTCCAGAAGGACCGCAAGATAGCCCTGATCCAAATGGGCTCCGTGGAGGAGGCCATCCAGGCGCTCATCGACCTGCACAACCCCGACCTGGGCGAGAACCACCACCTGTGGGTGTCCTTTTCCAAGTCCACCATCTAGGTCCCCAGGACCAGCCTGCCGGGTGCCTGGCCACAACTTCCGTCATTCCAGAAAAAAGCCACTTTAAAAAAAGCAGCTGAAGTGACCTTAAAGACCAGAGGTTTTTTTTTTAGTTTGTTTGTTTGTTTTTTTTGTTTGTTTGTTTGTTTGTTTTTAAGAGAAATCAGTTTACCTGTTTAAAAAAAAATTAAATCTAATTCACTTGCTCACCTGGGGGAGATGGGGTGCAGGCAAGGACGGCATCCCCTGCTACCTGCCTCTCGCCTGTGCCTTCTGTAGCTGCGGGGTGCACGCTCCCAAACCTCCATGTGGCTCTCTTGTGCCTTAAACCCACTGCTCTGGCAGGGCCTTCTTGGGGTAGCAGGCGTGGAGGGCTTTGGGGCCCCAAGGGGTCAGCCTCCCCTGGGATCATGTGCCTGGTCTGGCAGGAGGCTGTGAGCGGCCAGACCTGGCCAACACTCCAGATCCTTTAATCAAGTATGTTTCTCCCTCTAAGCCCCAGGGCCCCTCCCAGGGCGAGACCCCAGGGCATATCCCTGGCGCTTCTTCAGCTTTGTTTTCACCGGAATCTTTGTATTACGCTTGGATGCAGCTGCAGACGTCTGTGCCTAGCAATATTTCCAGTTGATCAAATATCCTAATCTTCCTCATTTATATGCAAAAGAAATAGTTTTAGGTAACTTTTTATATAGCAAGATAAAAGTGGTATGAGTGTAATCTGAAGTTTTCTCCAGCAAGTATGATCTTGTATACTATTATTTTATTCCTTGTAACGAAGTTGCAGGGCAGGATCCAGCCTCGGGGCAGATGCCGTGGCCGGCTGGGTGGCCCCCACATGCCTTACTCACACCCGACGGTCCTCAGTCAGGGAGGACAGGCGCTCTTAAACTTTCAGGGTTTCATTTTTCCTGCAAATTTTGGATCAAAGTTTTGTTTCTGTTTTTTTTTCCCGTCTGCCTCTAACGCTGCGACCCCAGGAGCTCGGGCAGCCCCCCTGTGGTCTTAACTGCCTCGTTCTGCACTCGTGTGTACAAGGGGCTCCTGCGCACAGGCCCCGTGCTGGCCAGCCCTCCCTGGGGGTCTGGGTCCTGAGTTTCCATGTTGGGTGGAACAAGGGTGGAAATATTTGTAATTTTTTATACCTATTGTAAGTCACAAGGGGCAGCACACGCAGTTTTTTATGGTGACAGATGTATATTTTGATAACAGCGGTTACAGGCTCAGTGTTGTAAGGGGAGCAGGCAGAGTCCACTGCCCGCCGCTGGCTTGTAATGTGGAGAGAACTGAATTAAAGCAATTTTATAACAACAACAACAAAAAAAATTGCAGTACGCTTAAGTGATATTTTAAAATTCCATTGAAGAACAAGCTTTGGGATCATAACTTCTGATTCTGAATCCATCAAGTCATGCTGCTTTTGATTACAAATATTCTTATTTTAAACATGCACAAAATATGAAAACTTTATGTCATTTCCTTATCAAAAATAATTAATTATGAGCATCACATTGAAAAATTGTTAGGTGTATTTCAGAATTAGTTCAGTCATTTTTAGTTACTATGGAATGTATTAATCTTCCTTCCTAATTAGTAATTTCAGAAGTGGGGTTGGATTTTCTTTTCAAATTTTCAAGCAATACTTTGTCATAAGTGATTTTCTTACAAAGAGAGTTTTGATTCTTCCCTCTTTACAATTACTAGTTCTTTGCTTAGAGGATGACTATATTCCATGAAGCATAAAGAAACACTATCCTTACCAAATTATTATTGTAGCAAATAAAATTAGGACAACACATACCACACTCTTGGAGAAATTAGGATTTTAAAACAATCCAAATCTTGGTTAATGCTGAATGATCATTTCGCAAAGAATGTAATATTTCTAAGATCATCAGCAGGGGAGTCTAAGCAAGGCAGTTTGAATTTTGATGTTGAGTAGAGAGAATTTAATCTTCTTATCTATCCCTCTGTAAATAGATTTGAAATGCAGTGCCTGTTGAATTTTGTGTTTGTTAGTCCCAAATGTTAGAGAGCTAGGGTGTGACCTTTTTGGTTTTTCTCTGTCTCTCCTTCTCTCTCTCTGCCAGTCCTGAGGAATGTAGTCTTGCAGTACAAAGTTGAGTGTTAGACAATAAAAGACAGAACATGGTAGGCATGATTGTTTTAATTTGTGGCTGCCAGTTGTCACTAACAGGCACTAGACTGTACCTGTGTTTCTAAAAATTGGACTAAGGATCTCACCACACACAGAAAAAGAATTAACTATGTGAGGTGATGGATATATTAATTATCTTGATCTTGGTAATCATTTCACAGTGTATATATGTATATCAAATCATCACATTGTACACTTTAAATATATACAGTTATGTTTGTTAGGTAATCCTTAATAAATCTGGAAAAATGCAAATAAAATTTGAGAAAAAAAGACACTGGGACAAAGGAAAGATCCTTCCAGGAAAGACAGGGAAAAAATTTAACATGGTATCAATTTCATCACAGGCCATCTCAGCTTCTCCTGAGCCGACCACTCTTGGCCTCCTCAAAGTACTAGCTCTGCTGTCCTGAAGCAGAAGACAAACTACAGCATATGGTGCAGGTCAGAGTTTATGATTCCAGCCTGATTTAGACTCAGGCTGAAGGCACACTTGGGACATTCAGTCTCATTGTGTTGCAGCAAAGTGTGTTACAGCTCAGTGTTACAGTTCAGTTGTGACAGCAACCTGGATCTGGGTGAGAGACCAAGCAGCACTCACAGGGTTGGAGAACTCAGGTTTAGTATGCCAGCAGGCCCAAAGGAGTTAACACTTCAAGCTCTGAACCCCATCTGTAGGTTTACACAGGCTTTTATAGGCTGCCAGTCTACCCTTTGCAAATCATATGCAAATAAGGTATAACAAAGTAGACTATTTAGGAACGAGCTTTGTAGAAATGGACCAATCAGGAGTGATAGAAATGGACCAACCAGGACTGAGCTCCATGCAAATGAGGCACTATGAATGGACCAATCAGGGGTTAGCTCAGGGAACCAATAGAATCTTCAGGGGTAAGTTCCACTTTCCTAGAAGTAAGCCTTTTCAGAGGCAGAAAGTGAGATAATGCTGCCAGGCCAGGGAACCTGATGCTGCTGGCAGGAGAGTAGTGGCCCTGTCTGGGGGTCCTGCCGGTCTTGTTCATGGGGCTTCCCACCTCAATTGCAGAGACAGGAAACGTATGGCAAAATTGCATAGGAAGTGTTAATTGGTGGTGGGATAACTGTTCAAATACTAATGTCAGCTTCTTGTTTTCCCTGTTGAACTGCCACCATTTTCCTATTGGGCAATGAGGGAGGGGTACACCTGCTGCTCAGGGAAGGAAGAGCCCACACATAAGAACCAAGAGCTCTACACCCTATATTCTAAGCTGTATTTTAAGCTTTTGCAGTCAAAAGACATCTCAGCTTAAGATCAAGAAGATTTGATATAGGTCCACTAGCAGGGAGAAATGAGTGTGTCTTTCTACCCATCATACTAGATAAAGGAACTTCAAAGGAAGTGGAGAGTTTAGGAAATAAGTGAATTTTAAGTATTGTAGGAGCTGTATGTTCTGCCAGTCGCCCACATAGGAATCTGGTGTGTGTGTAGGTGGAGTGTGTTGTGGGGAGGAAATGATGTAATTAACTTTAAGTAGGAATATGAGGATAAATTGTCTCATGCTCCACTATTCATTTAAAATCTTAGAAGGCAGCAGGTTCATAGACGTGATATACTCTGTCTACTAGGGTGCTCTATGAGGGGCAGTGAAATGATGTATCCACAGTTGTGAGAAGGGACAAGTTGGCCAAGAGGTCTTGGGACTGGCAAAGCAATAAGTGGTGATGTGATTGGACCATCCCAGCAGTGAATAAACAGGATTGGCAGCACTAAAGTGCCAGGTGACCCATCCATGGGCAGCTGCCCTCTGAGTGGAATATGTTTCACACATGCTGTCCAGTTCCCTGTGAGTCAAGTTACATCAATAGAAAAGGTTTTAACATAGGATGGAGAAAAAGGGAGACTGAGAGAAAGACTCCCTGTGCCCACCATCACAACAGAGTGGCCGTTCTCTAATGACCAAAGAGAATGGGTGAGGGATAAAAGTAAGGGTGAGGGATAAAACAGGAGCACATAAACCTTAAATGTGAATGAATAAGAAATGGAAATTGGTTAAAGGGAATCCCTGGATTGGTCTGAGAAAAATGGAAGTTGACTAAATTGAGATTTTTTTTAACATCATGCAGATATGGGAGCTCATGACAGATAATAAATTTGTTACTAGAAATAAAGTTATGTTTTTACAATACAAAGAATTTTTGGACCATTGTATCTGAAAAATATATGATATTCAGTACAGCAACATGGCAGTTTATGTGTGTGCCTGTATATGTGTGTGTTTACAAAATAATTGACTCTGGAAAGCAAGGGTCTTGTGAAATCCATGACAGGAATGCTATCAGGATTAAGTTAAACTCAGGCATTTTTAAAGTGCATCTTTATAAAAACTGTATAAATGGTACAACTGAGCCAGTTATCTATTTTTCTTTCTAGTGTTTCCACTGAAATGAGAGGGTATTTTTTTAGTGATGTTTTTCCCCACAGTGAAGGAGAGTGAACATATGAGAAGGACAGAGACAGAGGGAGACAAAAGAGTTCCTAGGAACGCTGGCTCTGCTCTCTGCCTGGTATCTCAGGGCCCCCTTCCTCCATGGTGACCTATTGCAAAATCCTGTATTAAATGCCTGCAACCATAAAGAAGCAAAAAGAAATTCTCAAAGACGCTAGGAACTACTGAACAACTGAGAAAAATCAAATTGAAGAAATGGAACTAATGGAGGAGAAAGAAAACTTAAAAAAATCATTAATATCTTCAGGGACACTCAAGAGATAGCAAACTAATAAAATAAGAATAGAGAATTCTTAAACAAAAGATTTTAAAAAACAGTAAATTCGAGAATCAAAATATGTATCAGTCAATGGCTAACAAAATAAAGTGTAGCAATATTAATGTCAGGTAAAATATAATCTAAGGAACATATTAATTTAACATTGCCTTCCCTTTTATTGTTGTTCTAAATTGATTCTTCACACACCATCATATGCCATGGAACAGAATCTATCTTGTTCATTATTGTATCCTAGAGAATTGCCTTACACTTAATGAGTAGAGTAACTGTTTCTTTAATTGAATTGAATTTAACATGAAACACAAGATCCCTTTTTCAGCAAGCTAGACTGAGGAGAGGCATATAACTTAGGTTTTGTGTGTGTGTGTGTGTGTGTGTGTGTGTGTGATGGGGGATAAATATTAGTGAAAATTTCAAACTCTTTTGTAGCAATTTCATGTGTACTATTTCAAATGCTACTATTTTATTTCTATGCCCTATCCGTATTTGTTCACTTTATAATAGAGTGTCAGCTATCTCCTGGAATGCTATTTTAAATTTATATTTGTGATTATAATCCTGAGGTCAGAAGACTCAAAACTACACTGGATCCATTAAGGCTATGGTATCATTGGCTTTAAGCCCAGAAAGAAAAAAAAATTTATGCCTTTGAATTCCAGTGAATGGAACGTCTGAGTCACACATCCTTGCCTTGCTCCATATGCAGATGCATCCTCAGAAGATGAGAACCATTCTGCAGAGGTATTTCCCTGTTTTGGTCAAGAGTATCCAAAACAATTAGCTAATTATTTAATTTATTCAAAAAGTTTTTCTTTTGTCTTTGTACAGTATTGTGAGGCTCATTTCAGAGCCCTTGATATTTTTATCATGTAATTTTCTAATGAAATTCAAAAATGTTTAAGAAACTATTATCCAAGCCTCAACTTTCCTTGAGGAGCCAGCTGTTAACCAGCAAGACTGTGGGCAAATCTTGCAGCATGGATGAATTTCAAATAATTATGCTGAATGCACAAAGGCAGAAAAAAAGAGTGCATATATATTATTTAATTCATACAAAAGTCTATGAAATGAAAACCAGTGTATAGTAACAGATACCAGGTCAGTGCTTTCCTGGGGCAGGTGAGGAAGGAGATAACAAAGATACAGGAAAACTTTTGGAAGTATAGTTATATTTATTATTTTGATTGGGTTTTCTCTTTCTTCTCATTTTTCAAAAGGCAATTTGGGTAGATCTCATATTTTCTTAAAAGACCGCAGGTATACTGAAAGTGGTTAAAAGCATAGTTTTTAGAGTTAGCTTCTTGGGACTCAGATTCCAGGTCTGTGATTCACCTTCAGCAAGTGAATTAATCTCCCCAAGTTCTAGTTTCCTCATCTTAAAAATGAA